ATCAAAGTTATATATATACATAAATATTATTAATATTAACTTCCGATCAGAGCAAGCTACGCCTGTATTGGCTTAGACATAAAACTTTTTACTAATCCAATCATCGACTCATAATTTTATTTGGTTTGAATATTAGCTGCATGAACACTTTATTAGGACCACCCCTTATATCGAGTTGCACTACCTTTTGTCCTACTGACAGTTAGATTTCACATGATTTCACTAGATGTCCTGAGGCATTCTTTCTTATTCTTCCAGTAGTATAGTTTTCATATATTTTAATGTAGCTGGTAGGGGGTTCTTGCACCCCTCAGGTTCTCACTGCGATAAAGACCTGATGACTGTGCAGACTAGGAAAGTATCGGATATCTATGAATATCTAGAGAACTAGACATAAGCATTAGTACGGCAGATGGTTGTATTATTGTGGTTAAAGTACCCATCAGCATGTGAATAGGAACAGAATGTCTAATGAAGAACTTGGTCATCAGTAAGGTTCAAATAGTGTTTTTAAGTGTTTGCTGTCCCATCACTTGAATTAGTGGACTATGTCCGTGCAATGAGAACATGCTTCATACCATGACACTTCCTCCAGCTGTCTGCATTATTGGAACCACACACAGAGTCCAGTGCTTCATGTGGCTTTTTGTTTTCGAACGGCAACTCTTTCATATGTGCAAAACAAGAGTCTATTTACGGTACACCACTGCATGTGGTTACGTTGTTTAGCTGCTAACACAAGCCGTTTACGAACAGGCCTTCGATTACCATAACTTATCCGATACAACGTCCGGTGCATTGTTCCGGTGGAAATAACACTTATCTTTGTTGGTGTTAAAGACTTTTGTTTGTTGAGTTACTGTAGCCTGTTATGTATAGTTCTTTCTAACAGTTGTACTTACGATCCTATCCGACACAGTCTACTGTTCTCTTTGTTATGCCCCACAGTGGCACAGTGGTGATTCTGCGGAAAACCGGGTTTCGATACCCGTGGTGGGCAGAGCACAGATAGCCCTTTGTGTAGCTTTGTGCTTAATAATAAACAAACAAACAAACTCTTTGTTATCCATGATTAACACGTATCACGCAGGATTTTGGAAAGCCAATTAATTCCACATCAACAATCAATGATGTAAGGTACTCATCTTTGAGGGCTCTTCTTGTTGATGACTATGAGCAAAAAGCTCGTGCCTACAATTCTAAGCAGTTCCGAAGTCCACATGACAGGAAACTCTGCTTAATTCATTCCCAACATTCACTATTTCTGTATCAGGGGTAGTCCTAATAAAGTGGCCAGTCAGTATAGAAAGTGTTAAAATGTAAAAATTTAATTTTAAACCCATATATTTGGCATAAGCATCCTATTACAGCATTAAGTGTTCTTATTATAATTTTTTTTATCAAATTGCAATTTTAGGGTATGGTATTGTGACAAAAAAGTAAGATATTTACACAATTTAAAGCTAGCTTTTCTTTCTCTATTATTAAACTTAGTAAAATGAAAATCATTTATCTTACTTTATTGAGTTCCGACAAAACTTGATATTAAGGAGACTAAGTATTATATTTTTAATTAACTGAATCAGAGTCTAATGAACCTAGTTTTTTATATTACATTGACAAATTGACGTTAACACCATTTCGATTTATAATTGAAATAAAAGTCCTTACTTTGTCGAGAATAGCTTTTCTGATCTTGGTTAGTGTGGATTTCTTACTGTCTTGGAAAAATCCGTGAATGATTATCTTTAAGGGTGACTCTGGATTTAAGGTAGATGTCAGCACGGTCGACTCATCAATGTAATCTAGCATCCGAGCTTCGTCGCTGTTACTTCTAGTGTATAAGTAAAACTGGGTTTTAATTGAGCTGGGAGAATCGGGTAAAATGCGTAGATGTTTAAAGGTCCCGTTCTTGTTAAAACAACCAAGTTTTTCATAGCACACCTCTTCAGTGTTGCTGTCTGAGGGGAATCCCAGTCCTCTCATAATCTCTACTCGTTGAACTGCGTCATGAATAGAGAGAAGCATCTCATAATCCGAAAATTCTTCAAGATCACCTGAAACATGGTTTTGATTCGGCTTGATGAGTAACACTGTATCCAGTGAAACGACAAAATCTGCAATCAGAAATTCTTGTTTAGTAGAATGTTGAAATAATTGGTTCTTCTTGATGTCAAAATAAGAATTTTTTACATAACTTTATTTAAGAGTTTATTTCCATTGAGAAACTGTAATATCTAACTATGTGCACATGTAAAGAATTAGCCCTTCCTCTATCATGATCAACAAAATCGCTTGATGAGTAACCCATAAAACGTATGATAATATCAGCCCATTCTACTCGTTTTTAATGGCAAATACACGTTTATACGTTTGTTCGGAATAAGGAAAGGACCATTATCTCTGTTTAATGTAATTATTTAGTCGTAATGTTCTAAGTGTTTTTAAGGTGATCCAACACTGCGGTATAATATATTGCCCAAGGAAACGCTGACATCCTGTCAAAGTTATATATCTACGTATATAAATTCCAAAGGTCCAATGTCACGTCCTTAATCTTTGAGAACTTTAGCCCTGCTTTTGCGTAAGTAATAGCAGCAGCATTTTAAACGTTCGGAGTATATTTCATGTGCTTTGGTTTCTTAAACTCTTGTCAAAAACAGTAATCTTATAAAACAAGTTTACTGTTAAAGCTTATATGATCGTTACCTTTATGTACACTTTAATTTTTTGCAAGCTAGAATTTCACAAATTATTTGAATATGAAAAGTTAAAGGACTTACAAGCACAGACAAGTAGTGGAGTAACAGAGTTCATCTTTGATGCAATCGAGATATTGATATAATTTCAAACACTTCGGTATTTTACACGAAAAATTGGTGGCTGTTGCTGTGGTTACCGTCCGTCTGTTTCTTTCCCTTTTTAAAAGAAGCATTTTACATCTGTCATGTTATCTTAGTATACTACATAAGATAACATCTGATATTGGGATAAGCAGTTTGCTTTATCTTGTTTCCGGTTGTAGTGGCGTGAAAGGATCACAGATAAAAACTAGTACATAGAGATGCTGTATCGGTTTGGCAGCTTACAAGGAATCGTAATAGTGTAAATCTATTCGAGGTAACGATTTGGACTATACGTGTACAAGCTGATTATACCTGTATTAAAAATTATGGGTTTATTTAAGTTTGAATAAAAGTGAAGCATTTTGTCTGATTTTGAAGGTAGAAATTCTCATATAAACTGTAACATGCGTAAGGTCCTCAAATGGAGTTTTAAAGTAGGAGTTATCGTTATAGGCCTAGGATGAAATGTTCTCCTTGGAGCAAGTTCATTAAACTATTCTCTCTTAATTAGCTATTGGTAATAAATAAATAGTTGAAAATAACTAGCACCAATAAACCAAAATATCTTTTGGTCGACAACTGTGGGTCTCGTAAATGCTATTTTCTGCTTCTAGATAAACTTGAGCTGAATTACCTTGAGAGCTTGGATTAAATGTAGTGGTCATTGATAAAGTTACGATATGAGCATCGCTGGCATGTCATGAACATCTCTTGTTACATTTTTTTATCGTTTCTACCACTGGGTGACCCTCACTTCAAAGATTCTCGTGAGAACATTAGCATGTGTCTAGAAAAAAATTCATGAAAAAACGTGACAACACTGTTTAATCTAGGTGAGCTGATATTGTTGTTGAAATGTTGTTAGACACTTCAGTAATACTGTTACAACGATGTCTTCAGAACTAAACATACATTAGTAAAAAGGGTAATAAAAGGAGCTCACAGTGAGGATATATTTTATATTTTTGAGGATAATAGTGACTTAGATATTTCAAGATTTGTGACTTAGGTGTTTGAGGATTGTGATTTAACTGCTTGAGAAATAACGATTTAGATCTTTGAGGATAAAAGTGATTTCGATGTTTCGGGATTTGTCATTTAGGTGTTTGAAAACTTGGGATGTAAACGTCTGAGAAATCGTGCTTTAAATGGTTGAGAAATAGTAATTTAGATATTTGAGGATAATAGTGATTTAGATTTTGAGAATAATAGTGATTTAACTGTTTGAGAAATAGTGCTATAAATGTTTGAGGAATAGTAATTAAGATATTTCAAGATTTATGAAATAGGCGTTTAAAGATTTGTGATTGGATGTTTAAAGATTTGTCATTTAGCTTTTTGGGAATTATTAATTATATATTCGAAGAATAGTGATACGTGTGTTTAATAATTTAAGTTTTAGATTTTTCATGACTAATGATACAGATGGTCGAAAAATATGGATCTTGTGTTTGAAGAATAGTGATTTCGATGTTTTATTACGATTTGTGAATTAGGCGTTAGAGGATTTATGATTTGGATGTTTAAAGATTTGTCATTTAAATGTTTGAGGATAATAGCAATTATAATGTTTGGGGAATATTGATTTAGTGCCTTATGAATAGTGATTTAAACGTTTCAGTATTTATGATCTATAGTAGTTTGAGGAGTAGAGACTTAAGTGTTTGAGAAGTTGAAATTTAGATGCTTGAAAGAAAATATGAAACTTTGATGTGTGATATCCATGTAGGTAGGATTTTAGTTTTTATACGTGTTACACAAAACAGATATATTTATATCCTACTGCTCTCGTTCAGAGAATATTTCAACATAACGCAGAAAGTTCGTGATATCAGATATTGTTTTGAATGAGTGCGTTCCTATAGAATTAAACCATGTTAATATTCAGAACATGTGCATATGTTGTCATAAAGTATGACAAGAAGAATTTTTCAGAAATCTAACCAACAAAAGATCAAATTGTGTTCAGATTAAGCACCAGTTTATTTGAATTAGTTTGTAAGCGTTATTCAGTTTAGCCAATAGAGGGAATCAAAGCGTTTATTTGTTTGTAGTTAAGCACAAAACCACACAAAGGACTATCAGTGCTCTACCAACCACGGGTATTGAAACCCGGTTTCTAGCGTTGTAGAGGAAATAAAAAATAAATGGTTTTGAGAGAATTATACGTTCGTTCATGCTTAGAATTGCATGTGTTGTAATATAAAATAAAATACGTATATTATTATTATTACTGTTTTACGATTCAACATTTTTTCAACTGTGATCTTTTCATACATCAAGAGTCTATTGTTTAGGAAATAAATTTTTGGTAACTTCCTACGTGCCTAAAGTTTTATTGAGGAAATGTCTCTTGAGTCTACGGACTTACAACGCTAAAAGCTGGAGTATTTTGAAAGGAGTGTCTAAAGTTAATTTGGGTTTGATTTAGGCTATAGGTTAAAGCGTATCCAGAAAGAATCAGAATGGTTAAAGTTCTTACTTGGTATGGTGTAGAAGAAAATAGAGTTTTCTTTTTTTACCTGGTAGAATAAACACGCAACATTAGTGACTTTTAAATACAATATAAAATATAGTCTCGTAATTTCTTCTAATACACAGTATTTTTCTTATTCTACTGCAGAACAGAAAAATGACTTTATCGAATTATTTTTCGGTTTTTATTTTTTATATTTTTTGAATATACATAACATGCATTGGAGTAGCGTAAGCAAGAAGGTGTATGCACCACGATAACTTATTATACTTTTTTTTAGTGCATAGCTACACAATCGCTCTGTCTACCGCGAGAAATGGAAACTCGGCTTTTAGAGTTCTAAGTCCACAAACTTACCGCTGCAAAGTAAGAGGTCATTTATCAGTATACACCTTTATTTTAGAAACTAAACAAAAATAGTAGCTTAGGTGACAGTATAAGCTTTTAAACATAACAACTATTGATATTCGATCGTCAAAGCCTCTTTCGTAAGACTTTTCACTTGTTGTTCCACATGACGAAATACAATCTTATATACACATAATTTAAGGATAACAAGGGATCTGTTGGTTCAGATAGGCAATCCCATCCACTGTATAAACTCTAAAATAAAAGTAAAACATTCAAAGCTAGCCCTTATCATTCAAATATTTATCAAGCTTTCACTTAAATTAACCATATTTGAAGGCGACCCGTTCTAAAAGCCAACCACCCTGTAAGAAAAATAAAACTGCCTTAACTGAAGGTGACTTCTCTCCTGCCAGAATTTATATTTATGTCCTTAGTCCTACCATTGTCACCATTAGGTATGAAAAAGACGATGCATCAACACTATCAATTCTCTTAACAATCTTACACAACTGAATTAGATACCCTTTAACTCCTGTTTTTTCAAGAAAAGACAATTTCAGAGATCTTAACCTATCCTCGTACGATAGGTACCATCTCAGGTATCATCCTATTAGCCCTTCTCTGAACCATTGCTAACAGTTCAATGTCCTTTCTAAGGTAAGAAACCCATGATTGAACATATGAACATAGTACTGCAAATGTGTTCTAACCATTGACTAATACAGCGACATTAAAACTTCTTTACACTTACATGCAATATCCCTTAGATACAACCCAAATTCTTATTTGCCTTACCACTAGCAACAGCACATTGCTTGGATGGTTTAAGAGACTGATCAATCAGAATACGAATATCTTTTACGTAACACTTTTAAGGCTATTACAATCAAAATTGTACTTGTAATTCAAACTGTGATATCCCACATGCCTTACATTGTATTTCGTGTAATTAAAAACCATCTCCCAAATACTTTTGTTAAGCAGCACCATACTCTTCACAGCCAGCAACACCAAAACTTTAATTTCACCAGCAAATATCATCCTCTGTTTTTCTTTTTAATTAAAGAAATTCTGAACAAGTTGTATATTGTTTCTATATTTCATATATAATGTTTAAACATAGCTACTATGATGTCCTATGATCAATAGTATTTCAAAAGTATTTTTTTTACAAGTGAGTAGTGGTGAGAATATGGATTTTTTTAGGCTAAAATTTATTTATGAATTTGAAAAAATGAATCTACGAGTTTCATTCATTAGTTTTTACTTGTTTCATTACAGACGCTTAGATAGGGCAAAGCGACCGAATTTCTCAGATTTAACCGAGGCCAAGATAGATTAGTCGGTTTTACTGGAAGAGGACCATATTGTAAAAGGTTAAGGGAATTTCTTGGTCACAATTGTTAACACTTCTTTTTATAGTAACTGAATCTGAAAATGAACATCACCAAGCTTTGAAATGTCATTTTAACCTTTAAAGTTTGAAAATGAAATCAAAGACAACTAAAATGAATTTAAAAAGCCAATTTTGACTACACTGTTCTCCTAATACATTTTTTGGGAAATGTTCTAGATAAACGGTGGAAGCATTATTACTTATATGTATTGTATGCTAGTTAGAATGTTTAGAATGGTGATAGAGGGTTTGATGAAGGTCATGGTGCTAGTTCGTGTAAAAAGTGATGCTGGGAGTGGTGGTGGTGATATTGTGTTTGACACTTTTGTCATTTCTTTTTCAGTTGAATTATGGAAACAGTACTTCGTTTGAACAGAGAAAGACTCCTGTTTCATTCATCCTCTGTTTCAACTGCCAGGAGACGAAGAAAGGAGAAACCAGCGAATAAGATTGCAAAACAAAAAGAAGAAAAGAAACTGAAGAACAAGCTTTAAACTAAGAGACAACAAAAATGAAGATGCTGGTGACCAACTCAAGTAGGTCCTCTGTAGACACTTTTGTAAGTTGGTTGTGCCATGAAAAATGCTAAGCATAGTAAGCAAAGCATATTTACTGATGCAGATGGCTTTAGTAATAGTAGTAGGTCTGAAACAGATGGTACTCTAGTGAATATACGATCTCCAAGGTGTCACACAGTTCTGTTACACCAACGGACTGCACATCTTTACATGTTTTACCGAAAAAATAAATCTAAAGAAAGCTGGCATCTGTTACAAAATTTAAGAATAATTCAACAAATTATAACAGCTTCAGAATTTTACCAGAACTAATTTAGCATTCGTTTAGC